CATGTCTCTTTTCAAAATATCTACCATATTAGCTTTTTTGAAAGCATCTACTCCAATATCATGAGTAATGTCTTCTAGATTATCAGTCATAAATCTATCATTTTCATATTCAACTGTATGTGACAGAGGTCTCTTTTTGTCACTTCAACATCCCATACCTATTTCGTGTGATTTTGAATAAATTCATCACAACTGTAATGATTGAATATAACATCCCTTGGATATTTTTTTCTTCGTATTATAGCATTTCATACAAGGACGCCAAAAAATCCCATTATTGACAGGAATGTTTTTTCTGTGAAATCAAGAAATTGAATCAAACCATTCTGATACTCTTTACTTAATCAATTGGTTTTCATCCAACTATGATCTATAATCACATAAAGATTCTGAAAATAAAATAAAAATAGTACAAAACCTACAAAAATAAAGCATCTCAACAACAAGAACAACAATAATGGAGAACAAAAATAATAACATACCATAGAATAATGGTGAGAGTGTTTTTTCGTTCGATATGGCTCCTTGGAGAATAATGGTGATAGAGTTCTTTCGTTGGCTGGAGAAGAAATATCCTTTCACTAGGGCTCGAAAAGTGAATGAGGTAGACACTGAAGGAATAAAAAAATGTAAAGAGTATTTATCGCGGTTATACTGAAAACTGGGGTTACATGTCCGACATAAAATCTATAAAAAAATAAAGGCACATTTTTTGTTGTAAAAAAATTTGGGAGTTGTTATCTCGATTTTAACAAAAATTAAAGTAACATCTCCGGCGTAAAATCTATAAAAAATAAAGGTTCCTTTTTGGTTCCATATAAAACATTAAATTGCAAGAGCTGAGAATCTAATCTCAAACCCTTAACATATATTTATGCCAGTTTTATTTAAAACCGAGGGAACATATTAATTTTTTTTTATAAATAAAACAAGGCGCTCCCATTACATGTACCTGCGGTTTTTTATTGTATGTGGTGAAAGTTTCGTCATAAAAAGTGTTATTTGTTGTAGTGTGGGAAGTTTGTACAATATTGAACAAGTTAAAAAACAACACTAGAAGGTTTCCAAGACCTATACTAGGCCCAAATTTAGAATGCTTCATATAAGCCCAAGAGCACAGCTGAATCTAAGAGAGGGAAACCTTCAAGTATTTATACACAACCACCTCAAACTCAGACATAGGCAGGTGTGGACCTATTCTAGTGAACAAATACTCATAAATGGAATTTAACACGCGTCAAATGGGTTGTATATCCATTTTGAGTCCTCGGGAAGAACCAATCAATCTAAAGAGAAGCCGATCATGATATTGGTCACGTCTATAGTCGACTCTGTACTTAAAAAATAAGGGGTCCCTACTATTTTTGCGGCTACCCATTTGTATCTGATGACGTCATCCGGCTCAACCAATGTAAACTTTTTCAGGGATAACTCATCAACCTTAAAGTTCTTTGAAGGTTTCACCAAAAAACTCCATCTTGTCAACCCTTAAACTCTATATGGGCCTTGATGCCGGCATTGTTAGGGTCTTGATTGTTGGTTTTTTTATAAACCTAAATGTAATCCCTAGCATGCTCCCTCTTCAAGCGAGCAACCTGTATTTTCAAAATTGAAATAACATGAGAAGTTGATGTTCTTGTAGTATGAGATGAATGGGCCATGGAAGTAGCTTTATAAACACCCTTAACATCACCATTAGAGACGAGTGAATCTAAAAAAGTATCCCTAAAAGAAGCTACCTCATCCTGGGAGCCTACAAAGAGCCTTTCTAAATCATAATTGTTGGTTATAAATATGACCTAAAGACCCAGACAATCATATATGGAGGGAGAAGGATTAGAACCAAAAGATACTCATGTCTCACTAAAAGATATGTATCACTCACAGAATCACTAGCCAAACTAATAGGACTACCTCTCATACTAATTGAAGTAACAAAAATGCTAAAAGTATTAAAAGATTGAGGTAATGAAGGTACTTGGTAAAACACAATATGACAAGGAAAGTTAAGAGTAATTGGAAACAATGGAAGCTTTAAGCAAAGAACTACAACTACTCTATTAAATAGTCTCGGGAAGGAAGAGAAAGAGATGCTCACAAATAGAAACTAACTCTCAAAGGATTGGAAAACGTTTCTTCAACACTCGAAAACCCACATATATAAGCGAAGGAAAAAATGATTGGATTTCTCCTTCGAAACATAAACAAACTCAATCGCACTTGAGTGCAATTTAATAAGTGTCATTTCCTAACTAGTCAGCTAAAGCCAAACGTAAAAAATGGGCAACGAAACGTTTCTATGATGGGAAGACATTTAATGCACCTGACCCTCACTACTTTTGCAACTGACCCTTAGGAGTTTCCACTTATAATTTAAAGGGGGAAATATACTAAATGGTAGGCCACGACTACTAAGACTTTCCCAACCAAGATCCACTCGACATGTCTTAGGGGAAACTGTTTTAGGCCGGACAAAGGCCTAAAATCCCTTCAAAAGACCAAATGTATATAATTCATCACACGAGATATTTAAGGTACAATTTTTAACCAGTACTTTTTAATACACTCATCTTAAATCATGAACAGATGTTTGAGTGTTAACCTTGAAAATCCACCCTCATATCGCCGTACCGGAGATCGACACAACCGATTCATGATTCGTCATCGTCAGTGAACATCTATTTTTGTTTTCTTAATATATATATATATATATATATATATATATATATATATATATATATATATATATATATATATATATATATATATATATATATATATATATATATATATATATATATCGCTCCATGATACATCAGAGATGGTGAGACTAAGTTTGTCTGTAATTCACAATCTCCTAGAGCGCGCTTTAGGAGATTAAATGTGGCAGTGAAAAGTTATGGCTTCCAACAAAGCAATTCAAATCATATTTTGTTTTTAAAACAACGCCAACGTAAGATAACAACTTTGAATTTGTACGTAAACTATATGATTATTAGAGAAGATGACTCTAGAGAAATAGCAAAAGCTTCAAAATTAATTGGCAACAAAATTTGAGAAGAGTCAGGGTGGACTCAAATATCTTTTAGGTATTGAGGTTGTTAGGTAAAAAAAAGACATCATTTATCTCAACGAAAAAAATTCTTGATCTTTTATCAGAAGTTGGGTTATTAGACTGTAAGTCTTTAGATATGTCAGTTGTCCATAATCACTGACTTGGAGAACATCGAGACTAAATGTCAACAGAAAAAGGAAGATATCAAAGATTTGTTCGACATCTCATTTAGTTATCTCTAGGACTGACAATGAACTTAACCAACTCGAAAATAGTTCGAGATTCAATTCGGTAATTAATTCGTTAGACTTGGTTCATGAACCAAATGAGTCGAATTTGAACACAAAACTAAGTTCGTAAAATAAATGAGTTGAACTATGTATAGTTTGATTCATTTGTTTTATGAACTAGTTTGATATATAATTTGAAATACATCAATACTTAGTTTTCGTATTTATTTATATCATTTGAAAGATGATAAAATAATTTATAATTCTATTGATTAAAAAAATCCAAATTCAACATAGTAAAATATGTTACAAACTTAAGTTATAATATTTTATTATTTGCTCATATTAGCTACTTTTGATGATAATATCTTAAACTACAAATATTATTTTGAGATGAAACTTATATTATATGAAAACTAGAAATATTGTCTATAATTCTTATGAATACAATAAGAGTAAATAAGATTGTTTTAATTGTCATATTATTTATCAAAGTTGACTATTTAGATCAGTTTTAACTCTTAAAATTATTTTAATTCTCTTTAATTTTACTATTAAAGTCGTACATTAAAAAATCCACTTCCTTACCTTCTCCTACTCTTTTATATATAGAGTTCATAACTCACATGAGTTATATCCAAGAGTTTTAAGACACTTTCTCTTCTAAAAAAAGTTTATTGGACACAGTTTAAAATTAAATGACCCTTAGTAAAAAAGTTAATTTTTTTAAATTTTTTATCCATTTTTAAACTATTTAGTCGGACCGAGTTCGAATTATCAAACTAAACCGAGTTGTTCGTGAACTTTAAATGAGTCGAGTTCGAGCTGGAAAAAAAAAGTGATAAACTCTACTCAAATTTTGAGTTAAACCAATTTTTATCGAGTCGAACTGAGCTGAACTAAGGTTTAACTCAGCTCGACTCATTTCAAATCCTAATTATCACATACACTACGTGGGTCTTTGTAAACTTCTCTGCCTTAAAAGACTACTAATTGAAATTAACTTTGATATGAATTGTGTGATTAATCTCTTTTGTGACAACATGTCTACTATAGAATTTTTTTTCATAATCTAATTCAAACATGATCATACAAAATATGAAGTAGATTAACACTTTATCAAACAAAATTGTATATAGAATCCAAGATAATTCAGTTTTCATTTGTTAAATAACTCGCAAAAATTATATATAGTATAGACTTCTACAACTCAGTTGACAAGTTGGCATTATAACCTCTATGCACCAACTTGATTACCACTATTTAATTATTAATTACTTTAGTTTTTGGATTAATTAGAATAGATTATACATGTATAAATATATAACATATTTTTGTATTATAAATGTACCTATTAGAAATATTATGCCATATATCCATATCTGTTTTACAATTTTCACCTAAGAGTTGGCATATTAGAGGGTTGTAGGTCAGTCCCAAATGAAACTAACTTGCTGAAGAATGCAGATGCTTAATTCCTTTGTTTTCCTCTGTACTAACCTTATATATGTTTGCAAATCAATTTGTTACTCAAACTTTTTGTCATAATCTTATTCTGTTCATATGAAACAAAAAATATGGCATGATGGAACAATCAAGATTTCACAATACTATGGAACCAAAAAAGAGTAATCACTTATTCTAAACTATATGATAAAGCTATAATCACTTATTCTTAAACCAGCCCAATGTCAAAATTCAGACTTTTTCAAAAGTCATTCTTCTATAGCCACACCCTTCTTCTTATCATCAGCACCACCAGCATACTCCTTGAAGAAGTTTTCAATCTTCTCTTTCCTAACAGGATCATTCAAGAACTTAACAAAGTGACGATCCTTCACAATGCCACCAAAGAAATCCTCCACCATCGCATATCCCATCTCATCAAGTTCAGGAATAGGAGTTATCCCCTTAAATCTACAATCTATTTCATAAATCTTATAAGCTTCAGTTCTCAATTCAGTTAAGGATGGCTCTTCGTAATCATAAATCGGACCTAACTTATCCTTCAAATCAATAGTAATGCTAGCAGATTCTCTCTCCAGATCCTTTTGTCGCTTCTTTAATTCATCGATATCAATCTTAACGCGTTTGCGTTCTTGCATACCAGAAACAACATTATCAGCGCTGCTGCTTGCAGAATCTGTCTCGAGCTCGTTTTGACGCTTCTTTAATTCATCAATCTCGCTCTCAATGCGTTTGCGTTCTTTCATACCAGTGGCAGCATAATCAAGAAGCATTAGTGCTAAGACAACATCATGTTTTGACATTTCCTTATTCTTTTCTGGATTCTTCTTTTCCAGTACTGCATCAGCCATATTTTTCTTGGCTAGTTCACCATTCAGCCATTTCATACAATTGACGAAGTGAAGGAACTCATTCGGAGTTATGATGAGAGAAGAAAGAACCAACGCTTCACCAGCTGTGTCGAAAAGATGTCTTAAATCGTCAAGATTTGTGATGGAAGAAATCGGTTCGATCAACTCTAGAAAGTCGATTTCAGTGTACCCAAAGTTATGGAGATTCTTGACGGTAAACAGCTCCGGACCGAAACCGATTTGGATGAGCGAGGAACACGCATCATTGAGCTTTTCTTGCCACTCTTCAGGTGTGAGCGAAGAACATGCAGCATTGATCTTTGCTTCCCGCTCAACACGTGATCTTCTCGATCCGCTGCCACCGGGAATGAAGTTAGGCATGGCAGGAGAGTGATTTGTTTAGAGTAAAAGAGAGATGAAATTGAAAGGTGTAAAATTGATTCTTGTTGATAACAGTTGAATTGATGCTCAAGCAGTTATTAAAATAGAAATATCGTACCGGAACTAAATGCAAAAGGCGGGAAAATTATAACAGAAATAACAGTTGATTCTACGTGAATCCAATTCTCAAGAGTTTAGATGGTCTGATTTTTTTTTTAATACAAAACGACCTGATTAGGAAATTAAATATTTTAAAATACGATATTTGTAAACAGTTAGATATAATAATATAATTAAAATCTCACATTTTTTAAGATTTAAATTTAATATGTTGCCTTAAAAGTTTTAATGACACTGACAATCGCATTCGTGTAAAAATTCTTTTTATGGATTTTCCTCCTTCTCTCATCAAGACTTACTAAATGGTCATCCAACAAGATCTTCACCCTCAACAACCATCACTTGATTTTTCAATTCTTGATGCCCAGAGCCTTAATTCCAACAAAGATAACCTTACAACACTCAAGGAAAGGGCAGAAACAAATGGAAGCCGAAGAATTTCATGATGCTTGGCAATATTATTAGCATACATATATTATAGAGTTCCTTTGTATATAATATATTTAGCCTATAGCATTATGCCACGTGTATTTCTTAGTTATATCATAGCCACACGGTTCTTGTATTCAATCTGTATATATATCCATTTGGATAATGTGAAGTGATAAGAAATCATTTATACATTTACTCTTATAAGTGTTTTGTAACAACTTTCTATAGGTTCATCTTCTTCTTTAATGGATATTGAATTCATCTTCATCGTCCTCATCAAATTATTTTTTGGTTATTTAAATATTGATATGGTATCAGAGTTTCATAAATTCTGATAGTCATTATTTCTCTTACCCGATCGTTTTTTTTGCATTCATTTTGTTCTTCGGTCGTCCTTTTCTTCTTTGTTATTGTCTTTACCGTTTCTTGCATTTTTCTTTCTCTTCACTTATGGCTAACCAGAGCTTCATCAATTTTTCCACCAATTTATCGAATCCCTATTATCTGCATCTGAACGAAAATCCTTCTCTTGTTCTTGTTTCACTATTACTTGATGATAAGAATTATCATACTTGTCTGAGATCAATCCACATTGCATTGATTTCCAAGAACAAAGATAAATTCATTGACGGAACCCTCACGAAGCCTCCGGTTTCTGATTCTTTGTATGCTCCATGGATTCGATGTAACACAATGGTTTTGGCTTGGATTTATATATCAATTTCATAATCCATTTCCAAATCCGTATTGTGGATCGAAAGCATAGTAGGTGTATGGAAGAACTTGCATCTTAGCTTTTCACAAGGTGGTATATTTTGCATTTTAGATATCCAAGAAGACTTGTATACATTTCGTCAAGGTACTCTTGACGTTTCCAACTACTTTACTCAATTGAAAGTTATGTGGGATGAATTAGAAAATTATAGACCAATACATGCGTGTTCTTGTGCTATTCCTTGTTCGTGTGGAGCTATAGCTTCAATTAGGAAGTATCGTGAGCAGGATTATGTCATCAGATTTCGCAAAGGGTTTGAATAAAAAGTTTGCACAATCCAAGTCTCAAATCATGATGATGCATCCACTAATAGATGTTGATAAAGCTTTTTCCCTAGTTATCCAACAAGAAAGGGAAATGACCTATGCACGATCTGTGATTCCAAATGCATCTTCCAATAAAGAGGTGACTCCTTTTCAGACTAACACATCTTCAGGAAATCTCAAAGGCAAGACTGGTCAGAATTCCTTCAGAAATAAGTCACAAGGTGGAACTCGAGGAAACAATTGTGTTTGCACTCACTGCGGCATAACTAATCACACAATTGAAACATGCTTCCTCAAACATGGTTATCCACCTAATTTCAAAGGCAAAGGTAAAACTCAAAATACCAACTCATCATATCAGTCTGTTGCTTATGTTCATGTAAGTTGTGATGAATCACAACCAAGTTTTGTTTTCACTCAAGAGCAATACAACATTATTGAATTACTTGAACAGTCAAAACCCCACCCAAAGTCAATTCTGTATCTACTTCTCCTTTTGTCTTAAACTCACACTCTTCCAATAATAATGGTAAGAACCCTAACCTTTGAATCCTTGATACAAGCGCAATTGACCATATATCTTATGATTTAGCTTCCTTTACTTCTTGCCAAACTATTGTGTCTGTCTATGTTAGTTTACCTGATAGTTCCCGAGTTGTTGCATCTATATCTGGTAGCATTCTGATATCCCTTATTCTAACCTTACAAAATATGCTATACATTTCTACTTTTCATGTTAACTTGCTTTCTATTGCTAAACTTATTAATAGCAATGATTGTCATGTTAATTTTACTGCTAATTCTTGCAAAATTCTACAGAACCATTCCAAGGAGATGATTGGTATAGCTAGCTTACAAAGAGGATTTGTATGTGCTTGATGCTACAAATCACTCTCAAGCTTATCATTCTAGCTCTCAATCCTCTTGTAATCTCTTGCATCTAAGATTAGGCCACATCTCTAATGATGGTTTAAGACATATTTCTAAAGCTTTTCCCTTTATTCCTTATGAACTTAATATTTTTCCTTGTGATTCTTGTCATTTTGGTAAACAAAAAGAAATTTCCATTTCCTCATAGCACAAGTATTTCTATTGTCACATTTGAAATATTACATGCTGATTCATGGGGGCCTTTCTCTACTACATCCATATTAGGTCATAAATATTTTTTGACTTTGGTAGATGATTATTTTAGATATACTTGAGTTATATTCTTCAAATCTAAAGCTCAAACTAAAAATAGCCTTATTCAATTTATAGCATATATTGAAAATCAAATCAAAACATCTCTAAAATGCCTAAGATTTGACAATGGGACATCAGAAAACTTGTGTTGAAACACCCCTAACAAAATGGGGAAGTATAGAGGAAACATCGACATATATTGAATGTAGCTAGAGCTCTTTTTTTTCATTCTTCCATTCCTTTAAACATGTGGAGATTTTGTGTTCAACATGCCATCCACCTTATCAAAAGACTACCTACACCTTTATTGAAATTCAAATGTCCCTATGAGCTTCTACAGCAACAACCTCCCATTTTAATTCACTTAAAAGCTTTTGGTTGTTTAAGTTTTGCATCTACATTCCAGGCTCATAGATCTAAATTTGAGCCTGGAGCTAGAAAGGCTATTTCCCTTGGGTTTAAAGAGGGAACTAAAGGATACATCTTATATGACTTACAAAATCACAACCTTTTTGTTTCCATACATGTGATATTCTATGAAACACATTTTCCCTTTAAATCTCTCGTGTCACCCTTAACTATAAAACTTGACCTCACTAATTTTCCCATATATGTTGAACCAGACGACTTATCTCAACCTTCTAGTTCTACTGAAATTTCTCTCCCTACTGAGCATATATGTCCTCTTACCAATTCTACTTTACAGCCTGGTATTGATGATTCTCCTTCTAGTCCTACATCCCCCTTCACCTTTTCCCTCTCATACTAGTCCTAGATCATATACCTTTATGACTAGCCATGTACCTTCCACAAGTACTAGCCATGTTTCAATCAACACTCCATCTATCCCTCTGGATGTACCTTTACCTTTATCCAATGGATAATCTCATATTCCAACAACTGAACATGCACTTTCCAGTTCACCTAATATTGACAACACCATAAATGCCCCACCTTTAAGATAGTCTACTCGTGTTTCTCACCCTCCCACTTGGTTGATTATCATTGCTTTAATACCACACATACTCCTTCCTCAACCAAATCCAAAACTCCTAAGGTTGTTTACCCTCTCTCATCTTTCCTCTCTTATGAACAATGTTCCCCTTCTTATAAACATTATTGTTGCTCAATCTCTTCCAATATTGAACCAAAAACCTTTAACCAGTCTATTAAACATGACTGCTAGAAGAAGGCCATGGATGTTGAATTACTTGCTCTTGAAGAAAATCATGATTGGGATGTGATCGACCTACCTCATGGCGAAATTACCATTGGATGTAGGTGGGTCTATAAAATTAAACATAAGGCAGATTATTCTGTAGAGAGATACAAATCTAGGTTGGTGTAAAAGGGGTGTACACAAATGGAAGGCATTGACTACTTTGATACATTTTCCCTTGTAGTCAAAATCACCACAGTTCATGTTCTTTTATCCTTAGCAGCTATTAAGGGATGGTACTTGGAGAAGTTAGATGTGAATAATGCATTTCTTCATGGTGATTTACATGAAGAAGTATACATGATTCTTCCTCCTGGTTTATCTGGTTTTAGTGCATCTAAGGTATGTAGGCTTCAAAAGTCTCTATATGGTCTTAAATAGGCCAGTAGGCAATGGTATTCCAAACTATCCTCATTCCTTATTTCTCTTGGCTATAATCAATCTTAGGCTGATCACTCCTTGTATGTTAAGACTACTAAGCATAAGTTTATTACACTATTAGTATATGTCGATGATGTTGTCTTGGCAGGTAATTCCTTTTCTGAGATTCAACAAGTTAAACATCTTCTGGATGAAAAATTCAAAATAAAATACCTTGGTCAATTGAGATTTTTCTCAGGTTTTTAAATTGCTAGATCTAAAGTTGGCATCTCTCTTAACCGAAGAAAATATAACCTCGAATTATTAGAATATGTTGGTCTCCTTGCAGCAAAACCATTTGCAGTGTCTTTCAATCCTACCACTAAGCTTTCCATTGATGAAGGTCCTCTTTGGGAGATACTTCCTCTTACAGAAAGTTGATTGGAATATTGATCAACCTACCAATTCAAGGCGAGACATATCCTTTGTTGTGCAACATTTGAGCCAATATGTTTCTCAACCTTGTATGCCTCACTACCAAGCTGCAACACATGTCCTCTGGTATTTGAAATCCGTTCCTACTAAAGGCATTATTTTCTCTTCCTCCAGTAAGTTGCAACTTTTTGGTTTTGCTGATTCAGATTGGGCTATGTGTCTCGATACCATAAAATATGTCACTGGTTATTGTGTAATGTTAGGCACGTCCCTTTAGTGTTGGAAGTCCAAAAAGAAACACACGATTTTAAGATCTTATATTGAGGCAGAATATTGTGCATTGGCTTCTATTACTCGTGAACTTCAGTGGCTGCAATACCTTTTTCATGACCTTCTTGTGCATTTTAATCAGACTGCCTCTATCTTTTGTGACAGTAAATCTGCAATTTATCTGTCCCATAATCCTTCCTTTCATGAGCGTATCAATTCCAAGCTCCTCCACTTGCTACTTGTTTCCACTCATGACCAACTAGCTGACATGTTCACCAAGCTTTTACATTCTCCATCTTTATAACTCAATTTAGACAAGTTAGACCTTTGTATCATCGAATGCCCAACTTGAGAGGGATATTAGCATACATATATTATAGATTTCCTTTGTATATAATATATTTAGCCTATAGCATTATGCCACGTGTATTTCTTAGCTATATCATAGCCACACACTTCTTGTATTCATATATATATATATATATATATATATATATATATATATATATATATATATATATATATATATATATATATATATATATATATATATATATATATATATATATATATATATATATATATATAATGTGAAGTGATAAGTAAACATTTTTACAGTTACTCTTATAAGTGTTTGTAACAACCTTCTATAGGTTCATCTTCTTCTCCAATGGATATTAAATTCATTTTCATCATCTTCATCAAATTATCTTCTGGTTATTTGAACATTGATACATATGAGCAAAATCAATTATACAGTCTAAAACTGCTATTTTAAACATGGATTCTCTTGTGGTCTGTTTGAGAGTTGGTTTTTGAAGAATTTTAGAGGAGAAAATTTTGGAGGACTACGTCTATATCTTAAAATGTGTTCGATATTTTAATTTTTTTAAAAAAATAATATAATTTTATAAGGTAAAGTAAATTTTTAAAAATATCACACACATTTTAATATATAGATGTAACCTTCTAAAACTTCCTACTTTAAAACTCTCTAAAAATAAACTTCCAAACAAACCCTTAGGGTACATGATAAAGAGCCAACTCACTAGGAATGACAATTCTTAAAATAAGAAAGGCTTTGCAACTTTGGTCCCGCTATTTAACCTTTTTTCTGATTTTGATTCCCCCACTTTAAAAATCACTATTTTAGTTCCCTTTTTCAATTTTTTGTATTTGAATTTAGTCTCCCGTTCAATTTGGTGCTTATTTGCAGTGATGTGGCGCAATTTTAGTTGAGTTGGCATATAAAATTTTATCCACGTCTTTTTATTTATTTTTTAATTTATAATTATTGGAATTTTATTGATTGTGTGTTATGGTTAAAGCCAAAATTTAAAAAAAATGGTTCCAACAAAATTTGAACCCAAGACCCTTGACTTTAGAAAGAGGCGCCCAACCACTAAACTATGGATGTTTCTTTGTTAAACACTTGAAACAAATATCTGTAATACATAAAAAAAATGCTAGGCATAACTTGATACATAACAGCTGCATTGTCTTTAAATTACTCTTGAAAATTTGAAGTTTTCTTGATAACACATACATAAGACACCCAACCACCATTGAATTCTAAGAAGATTCCACCAGGTCAAGGCAATCCAGGTGCAAAACATGTATAACAAAGCAACAAAGCATGTATTTTTGTCTTTTCTAGGACATACCTCTGGCAACAAAGCAATCGGTAACAGTTTGAATTCTAATTTTAAACCTGCTGTGTTGAAGGGTTCAACATTAATAAAACCTAAAGCTACTCAGTTGGCTAGGAAAAATCGTCCAGCCAAAAATGTTGCTTCAAGGTGATTATTTGAGCAACTTATTCTTTTTTCAGTGTTAAATAGACATTATTTTTATGCAGCCCATGGGGTGGGGTGTATGCCGTAGTAGAGTGCACTCTAAATCCATATTTCTTTTGAAATCTTCCATGTTAATGCATTCTACCACAAAATCAGGTGTATTAGCTTAAGTGCTTGATAACTTGTGTGTGCATTTTATTCTGAATTTTTTTTGAAGTCATATTTCCTTCAATTTTTCCTGGTGCTAAAAATACCGGCATCAACTCTTTAATTCTCAGATTTCGAAAGCCACTAACTCAGAATGAAATGAATTTATCTATCTCCTCTGGAGTAGAAAATCAATCTGTCAAACGGCAAAACTTAGAGGGTGGTCATTTGTGCAAGGTATGCAAATTTTTCTCTTTTTCTGTTTGAATTTATAATACTTAAAGAAAATGCATTATATTTGTCTGCTTGAGGTGTATATTTGAGATTTACCGCGAAGTGACTGTTTAATGCAGAAATTTTTTATGTATTTTCTTCTCAATAAAAAAATATCTCACACACATATATGGTTTTGGGTTGTTGGTTTTGCACCTAGATTTCCTTAACCTGGTGGAATCCTCTTAGAATTCAATGGTGGTTGGGTATCCAATGTATGTGTTATCAAGAAAACTTCAAATTTTCAAGAGTAATTTAAAGACAATACAGCTGTTATGCATCAAGTTATGCCTAGCATTTTTTCATGTATTACATATATTTGTTTCAAGTGTTTACCAAAGAAACATCCATAAGAAAAAGATTAAATAGAAGGACCAAATTTACAATTAAACTAATAAGAAAAAATTCGTCAATTCTCACACAGATATCCCACAACCCAAAATAAAGAGGACTACGAATACCGTATAAACCTTATGAAATCTTCTAAACTTGTTGCATCTCATACTATCAATAATGATAAATTTGTTGGAGATACTACTCATTTCATCTCTATCATATCCAAAACAAGTAATCATTTTCATAAATCTACATTGTAGATATTATATTATGGTGCATCGGATTATGTGTGTCCTTTTATTAAATCTATTTAAATAATTCTGAATATTAAATGTGTATATCTAGAAAATTTTACCTTATATAGCTACATTTATCCTTCTACCCCAACAATTTTATAAATATTTCAAATTTACCTTTTTTATTTTTATTTTACGTGATATTGTAATTTTTACTATTCATTTGAAATTGACAAGTGTGCACCATCTCATGCAAATCGGATAACTTGCTACGAAGATATCAAATATGTTATTTTTCTTAATCATATAATATTGCTAAATAAAATATGGTTCAATTTTTGCATAAATCGGAAAACATGATACATAGTAATTCGGTTCAGTAAAGCCATCCAAATAACTTTCCTCTATGTTTTCCGGTTCTCTTTATATAAAATCGGATAACTTCCATCCAAATTTTCTGGTGATGAATTTTTTACCAACCAGATTTCTTTATTATAAGAATTTTGGTTCGCCTGATTTTTTAATTTTTATGTTTTATTGATTAATTTTTTATTTATATTTAACAAGTATGGATATTCCTTTAATGATATGCGATAAAAACCAGACATGTGTAGATACCACTGATATATTTTCAACTACTCAAAAATTTGTTACACGAGAATAGGCAACAAGGTGGATTACGGAGGTAGAAATCGGGAATAAAGTGACTTTTATATTAACACGTTCAAATACCAAAATAGGCAAGAGAGGAAAAAGTGACAAAGTTATATTTGGTTGTTATAAAGGTGGGAAATACAAAGAATGAGACAGTGAAACACAAAGTGTTTGAAAGAAATGTGCTTGTCCATTCAAAACTAGATCAACACCGTCAAAAGATGGTTCCCCATGGAAGATTGATGTAAAATATGGACTTCACAACCATAATTTACCAGGTAGATTTGAAGGACACTCGTTTGTAGGTCGACTAAATGTAGATGAACAATAACATATTGTTGATTTGATAAAATGTCATGTTCTACCAAGACACATACTATTGTCATTGCAAGAATGAGATCCGGATAATTTCACTCAGATCATGCAAATATATAAACGTAAGAGTAAGTTACAAAAGACACCACGGGTCCTAGAACAAAAATGCAACGTTTGTGTAAACTAATAGAGGATTCATATTATATGAAATTCTAGAACTTTAAAACACATGTTAATACTGATGATCAGCATCAGAACATAATGTTAAGACATAAGTTGTGACATTTGTTAACAGAAAGAAATTAACATATAAAAAATGTAACTTATGCAGAAAATAAATTGCATAATAATAAATAACACAGTTGATTGTTAACCAAGTTCGGTGCAACGTCACCTACTCTGGAGGCTACCAAGTCAGGAAGGAAATTCACTATGACAATATTAGTTCAAAGCGTAAACAATCTCAATTTACAACTTCTCGCCTAATCACTACCTTGTGCAACTTTTACCTAGAAACCTTATAGATATGAGATCCCCCTCTCACTTCCTACCAATCACCTCAATGACAAACTACAATCACAAATCAGTGACTAGAATCAAAAACAGAAGATTACACCTCCAATAAATAATACTCAACTTTTTGTTTAAAAGCTCATGAGTGAGAATAATACTTAGTTTTTTTAAAAGCTTCAACCAAGAACAATAACTTGATAAACAATAGAGTAACAATCAGTCTACCTCACTATATCAAAAGATACATGGGTAACTTACAAACACACAAGAGACTATCAAAATCTAAGACTTTAGACTTCCCCTAAATTTACAATTATGAAAGCTAAAATACATTAGGTATAAGTTTCTCTTAAAATACTCCTCAATGGTCCATGGGCTTCAAAATCTTCACCCAAATATTTCTTGATCCACAAGTTAAGGGTTGCACCAATTATGCAGAAAAATATCCTTAAATCTTGGAACAAAACATCAAGTTTCCTAAATTGTCTCAACATCCAATTTTAAAAACTTATGTACAATTGGAGATTAGATCACTTGTTCCAGATTAAATCTTCTTGACATGTGCAAATTATTGAGATATATCTAAAAGAACATTTGTTTTCAATGTAAGCTCACGCTCTACTATATCAGTTTAGTCAAGATGTTATGGCATCTTACTCAACATCTGTCAAGAACCGTGTTGTAGCAAAATTGTTGCAAATCCTAAAACCATGGATCTAACAATCTCCCCCCTTTGA